GCAAAATAATCGACACTTCAAGGTCTCTACTGGTCTCCTATAAACTAAAAGGATTACACCATGTTAGTGCAAATAGCAATCAACTTAATGATAAGGATACAATCTGAATGATGGATTGCGTATAGTACCTGCTCTTAAGTTATTCCATCACAATACTCATTCATTAAATTTCCTTGATAAAGTTCAAAATAAGAAAGGTTTCCAAAATTTTAGCTAACAGTTCAACAAATTTATGGTGGTGTTGAGACACGAAAATAAGATGAAATGTTGATATAAATATAAAATATATAGAAGGTATGAAGACCAAGATAGTGTTCGTGGTCTCTTGTTGTAAGGAAGTTGTTTTCGCAACTTATCAGGAAGACCTAGAGAAACGCACCTTGTCTGTAGTCCATAGTATGCATTATAATTTCCAGAGCTGGACTTTGGACTTGGTAAATTTCGATAAGTTTTGCCGGCATCGTCAGTGATCCTTGATATTCTTAGCACCATACTAAAACTCGCCAAAGAGACAAGTGAAGTCAATAATTCGACCAATTATCTGCTTAACTGTAGTGATATCTCTCCTTCTGTCCTGGTGCATTCACCTATCCGATATTCTCGTATGACTCCAGCATTATCACAATTTCTTGTCTATTTAAACTTAGTTCAAAGGTGCCCTTAGTGAGACCCATTCAATCCCCTCTGATTCCTTTGTTTCCCCTCTGTGCTAGGAGTTTTGATCTAAGTTTGCTCTTTTAGTCCGTAATCCTTTCCATCCAGATCCTATCAAAGTCTTCTTCTTGCCATGTAGGATCCGTCTCTTATCTCACTGGTCCAATGATTTAATTCCATCATTTTCCCCATATCCATGCTACTTAAGGCATTATGTTATACACACTGTTTGAGCCTTTGATAGAACGTATACTGCAGCCTCACTGAGCAGGCCCCCAGCCTGGATTGCCAAACTAAATGAACAACTAGCTTGACATTACAGCTTCTCTTATGACTGTTTGGCATGTGCACTGTGCAAATCTCATGGTAAGCCCATACTTCACGAACCAGGTCTATGATAAAACCTGTCTACTGTTAGCCAACTACTTCTAGTCTTAGCATCGTTCGTGCTTCTATCCATAATGCCAAATCTAATGTTTCCTTTGCCCTTGTGTGCCAAACCTCAAATGGGACAGTTGTTCGACTCGGTTTGAGTAGGCCCACCGTAAACGTCTTATCTTGAATTCCAATTGCTCTCATGTAGCCTGCTCTGCGATTTATTCTCGTCAGGTGTAAAATATTTTCTTGATCAAGTCGTCTTTTTTTGCTGATCTTGCTATTCTCTGATCTCGTCCGGATTTTCATAAGAAATATGAAAAGTTTTTGCTAGTTCTACCTTTTTAAAGTCTCATGACTGAAATAAATCTACCGAACAGAAGACTTGAAGAAAGCAGGATTAACGAAAACTTTGCATATTGCTTAAGCAAACTAGGATATCAGACAAAAAGACGACTTGATCAAAGAAAATATTTTAAACGAAGGTATGAAGATCAAGATGGTGTGGCTCTTTGTGTGGTCTCAGTCTCCTTTAGTTGTATAGAAGTTGTTCGACCTTGTTTTCGCGACTCGGTCATATTGGTAGAAAGACTTAATCCGAAGTCCATTATATGTATCATCATTTCCAGAGTAGGGCCGTGGACGTGGTACATTCCCAGAAGCTTCGCCGGCATCGTCAGTGAGTCTCGCCATTTGTAGCACCATTCGTAGCGTCAATGAATGGGCTTTACTTGTCTCTTTGACGAGTTGTAATATGGTGCTACGAATGGCGAGACTCACTGACGATGCCGACTACGATGTCGGCGAAACGTCTGGGAATGTACCGCGTCCACGGTCCTCCTCTGGAAATGATCATGCAGACAATGGACTCCGGAGTAGGTGCGTTCCTCTAAGTCTTCTTACCGATATGACCATGTTGAGAAAACAAAGTCA